AAGAATTTTTTAAAATTGTGCTAAGAATCTAAAAAGAAAATGATATGCCTACTGCAGAGATATGCTGCATAATAACACATTAAACGCACTGGTCGTTCACCGAAACAAATCCCGCCCTGTGTAAGACGATAAACTACATCCAGCAGCAAGGCCTATGACCAATAGGTTTTGAGGTGCATGGAACCACCTCTTAATTGCTGGTGTTCTCAGGTCTAACTTGGCCCGAGGTGGCAGCACCTGTTAGGGTCCCTGAAATGGGCAAATAGTTAACTCCCAAACTAGGGTCAAAACACTATGAAAGTGTAAAAATAGATTTTAATACCAACAATACATTTTTGTAAAATAATATTACCAGCAATTAATTTTTGAAGAAAATAAATTATTACCAGAAATATATATTTTTAAAAAAATTGCCAGTAATACATATTTGAAGAAAAAAAAAACATTACCAGAAATCTTGTCGGCATTAAATAACCCACTGAAATGTTGATATGCCGTAAGACAATGTACATCCTTAAGAAAGGCGCCGTACTTGACTTAAAACCAAAAATAATATTATGTTAAATTATAAAAATATTACCAGCAATAAAAATCTTGTCGGCATTAAATAACCCATTGAGATGTTGATATGCCGTAAAACAAACCAAACCAAACAACTAAAGGATCGAATCAGTTTCTTGATGTAAAGATGAACATCCTTAAGAAAGGCGCAGTACTTGACTTAAAACCAAAAATAATATTATGTTAAATTATAAAAATATTACCAGCAATAAAAATCTTGTCGGCATTAAATAACCCATTGAGATGTTGATATGCCGTAAAACAAACGAAATCGAAACAAATCTGGCCCCAATTTCGATCAGAAGTGAATAAAATTCACTGAGCCAAAAATGCATTCAGAGTACACTGATTTCACAAGACTCGACGATAATCTTAATAACAGATTGCAGAGTGGAAAATAAGTCTTCCTCAACAAGATTTTGAACCCAGTCAAAATTAGGATTGAACATATCCAGACCAGATATGAGAACAATACACCATTTTTGGTGTAGTCAACATTCAATACCTCGAAAACCGAACTAAATATATTCCATCATCGCCGATCGGACCCCGAACTAGTCACGATGAACGGTTTTCCCTTCGAAAGCCACCGTGCCTTGAAAGACTATTGTGCCTCAAACTCGCACCTGATCTCGATCCATTGCTAACGATACAGATAAAATGTTCGGCTCCCTGTACCGTTCCAATAAGTACCTGACTCCTACTGCTATCCTTTGCCTTTAAAAGAGCCAGCTCAAACCCAAAAATGGAGTACTGTCGTCAGATTTGGGTGGGAGCTGCTTTGACCTCACTCTCCAAACTTGATAGAGATCAAAAATGTCTCCAAGCCCTTGTGGGTGTCTAATTATTCGCCACTGTCCAACCTCTCTCCCATAGGCGGAACGTGGCAAACCTCTCGCTGCTCTAGCGCTACTTCGACGAAAATTGCTCGGGCAAACTACATTCACTAGTCCCACAAGTTCAAACCTTCACGGCAAGGATACACCATGCCACTTACATCGTATCAAACCACCCACATTCCCTCCGTATTCCATCGCTGTGAAGTTACACTCGAGCAGCTGCAACCTGCAAACTGTTGCTCTGTGGAACCGACTCCCAAAAGGATGTTTCACCGATCACTATAATCTCGACCTCCTCAAAGTTAGGATTAACCGTTATCTCCCCCTCCTATCTTTGTTACTTAACGCAACTCTCTACCTCGAGTGGCCTACGGGACTTGTACAGGGTAAACTTTATTGTAAAATAAAAAATAAAGATAAAACATGGCAGAAGGAGTTAGCTACTTCCTGGAGCGATAGAATGAACCGATCAGTTTTCCAGTATCTATGGGGGTTAGAGTAGATCGCCGTTTCGTGGCCTTTGTTCGAAAAGCCACTCAGGCGTTCTGTACAAGAGGCCAGATAAACGGGTTATTTTTTTTAAAGTCCGCTGAGACTTGCATCATTCAAAACAAGGTCATAGACAAAAGGTAGATTTGGAGGCAGGAATGGCGCGGAAACGTATAAATTCATTGCTATTTACTGTTCAGTTCGTCTAGAACTCCGGTTTCAAACTGATAGCTTCGCAATAAAGTGGCCCCTATTATCGTGTTTGGAATCAAGGTTGGTGGGTGGAGTTGGTTGCGGCCTTGGGTGGGAATGGCCGCTGTCTTTTGTAGAAATACGCACATGTTTAAAGAAACCGAGACAAGGTACTGAAGCAAAAAGAAATAGAAAAGAAAACAGCTATATGATAGTCTGAAGGTGCGACAAAGTGATATGTGTAAAAAGAAAAAAAAATACACGTACACAGACGGCGAGGAAAAAAAGTATATTTATTATTAGTAGTGTAATTTGGCAACTGTTATTCTTCTGAATAAGTTTTACTAAAACGTATTTAATTTAACAATTTAAAACGTTAAATGCAACTTAAATTCGGTGTTTACTCGTTCCCCGACCAGAACGAGAAGTGACAAGGTTTTTTAAAGTGGGGACTCGAACGAGATGTGACAAGGTTTTTTAAAGTGGGGACTCGAACGAGAGGTGACAAGGTTTTTTAAAGTGGGGACTCGAACGAGATGTGACAAGGTTTTTTAAAGTGGGGACTCGAACGAGATGTGACACAAGGCCTTTTTAAAGTGCGGACCCGAACGAGATGTGACAAGGTTTTTTAAAGTGTGGACTCGAACGAGATGTGACACAAGGCCTTTTTAAAGTGGGGACTCGAACGAGATGTGACACAAGGCCTTTTTAAGGTGGGGACCCGAACGCGTACACTCGGGCAAAGGACAAAAATTCCCCTCAGCCCCCGCAACCATCGGTTACGCTGGAGCACCGATCCCTCCCTCTGGTGCAATGGGAGGGCGCAGCCTCGGGCAGCTGTTCCCCAGGAATGGGCACCTCTTCAGTATAATTTTCTCAGTTGCCCCTCTGTCCTTTGACAGAGAAGCCGCTGAGAGCACTCTGCGCAAAGACAGAGACGCAACTGACAGATGATAAGTAGATGCGAAATTACTCCAAAAGAGTAATTAGAGATTTGCTTAGACAGCTAATTAATGAAATATAGCTTTTTTAAAATCAATATGCAAATTAGTTAAACCTGAAAAATAATATCGCCTAGAAGTAGATAATATATAATTTAGAGATTGAGCTATTAACGTATTTAAGTTGCAGCGTGTAAATTAGTCCCTGTGCTGGTGGCATCGTGGCTACGACTAACTTGGGCGAGCTATGGCAAACTAAGACTAACTTGAACAAGCTATGACCAGCTTGGACCAGCGGCCCGAGTGAAAAACACTCTGGTCCCCCACGTTAAAACCTGACCTTGTGTCGCAACCTTTACAATGGGTTACTGGGTGTGGATGAATTAGAAACAAAAACGTTAATAATGAATGGGAAGAGTAAAGAGTAATCAGGACAGTAGATAGCGATTGAAATTACATTTCAATTTTTGAAGATTAAAGTTGGCTGGAAAGCATGGAGCCGGAAGGGAGTTCCACAAGCGAGAAGTGCGAGAAAATAAAGTCAGCTTAGAATTTACGGCTATATCTCGCCATCTCAACTGTCAATTGATGAGATCTCGACGCCGGTATAGTACTGTGCTTAAATTTAAAAAAACTCTAGGTACCCTAGTAAGGAGATCATCTGAACAATTACCATAAAAGTATTTATAGAAAGACACAGAGAGGCAACTTTACAATGGTAGGAAAGTGACTGAAGTCGAGCTGCCAGATCAGGATCGATAATATTGTTGATTCTTCTTTGGATTTTATCAAGGGAATCAAAGTAAATAGCAGGAGCATCGGACCATATGTGGCAGCAATATTCTAAGGAAGGACGAATGGTAGATATCTAAGATAGATTCTGGAGAGAAAAAAATTCTTACACGATGCAGTGAACTAACTTTCTTAGCAACTTTCTTTCTCGTCTTATTCTTAATCTATGTTGTTTAAATTTTTTTTTCATTAATTTTGTCCCATTTTCTTGTTATTATTTTTTAACTCTTCATCTTTTTACGTCTTTTTAGCAATTTGCATTTCCTTCTCTGTGTTTTATCCTTTATTTTTAATTTTTTCTATGTGTCTTTGTCTCGCTCCCGCATTAGTAATGAGAAGAAGGAGAAAAGAGCAATCAAGTGGACAGAAGATTGACATTGCACTTAAATTTTGGCAGAGTAAAATTGGTTGGAGTTCCACAGACGAGAGGTGCGAGATAAGAAACTGTCAGCATAGAAGTTACGGTGACATCTAGCTAGCTCAACTTGTAAATTGATGCAATTTCGCTGCCAGTGTAGTGTTGTGCTTAAATTCATCAAGTCTAGCTACCATAGCGAGGAACTCGTACAAACAATTATCATAAAAGTATTTATAAAAAAAAAGGCACAGAGAGGCCACCTTACGGCGGTGGGAAAGTGACTGAAGCCGATCTGCAAGATCAGGACCAAAAATATTGCTGGTTCTTCTTTGGATCTTATCAAAGAGCTCAAGGTAAATAGCAGGGGTACCGGACCATATGTGGCAGCAATATTCTAAGCATGGATGAACGGTAGACTTATAGATATGCATGATAGATTCTGGAGAGAAAATATAGTTTTGAATTCAGAGTTTTATTTTTCTCCTAAACCCGCTGCAACCTAAGTCTGTCCTGCTATTTGCCCATAGCTGGGGGCAGACAAAAAAATGGATTCATACATTTCCCCAAGGTATTAGCATGTAATCGAATGTAATGAACTCGACTGGAATTCGAACTCGGCTCTCCAATTCTTCAATCAGAGACGCAATCCATTACTCTACCGTGCCTCGTAAAATGCCTGCACAATACAGTACCAAAGTAGCAACAATAAAGTGCCAATATGTTCCTTTTTCATTATTCCTTTTATATTGTCGATCCAATCCAATTTGGATCGACAAATATCCAGAAAGAAAATGTAAAACTCACATCGGCCTGTATCTGAACTGACTTAGGGCCATAGCACTTTGAAACATTAGTCTCCCGTAAGATCACCGAAGTTAACCAACGTCGAGCCTGGTCAGTTCATAGATTAGTGACCGCATGGAAATAGCAGGTGCTGTAAGCTTGGATGCGCGAGTGATGTAATGGATAATAGCCTTTAATTGTTAATCGGAGAGCCGAGTTTCGATACGATCACCGAAGTTAAGCAACATTCGCCCCTGTCAGTACCTAGATGGGTGACCGCTGGAGAATACCAGGTGCTGTAAGCTTGGATGTGCTGGTGGTGTAATTGATAACGATCACGCAAATTAAGCAATATCCACCCAGGTCAGTACTCAGATGGATGACTGCTTGGGAATACCAAGTGCTGTAAGCTAGGATGTGCAGGTGGTGTAATGGATAATGACTCTTAATTGTTAATCGGAGAACCGAGTTCCAATGATGTCCTGTTGGATTCGTTATATACACTTACGCGCTAATGACCTCTTCTCCCCACAACTATGGGTTAATTAGTAAAATTTTTATCAATGAAGCATTACTACCCTTCCCCAATTCTTACAATCTGAAAATCTTTTCTGGCATTAAATAACCTGCAAAATGTTGATAAGCCGTAAAAAATGAATGAATCAATCAAAAAACCGAGTCTACATAGGGCGGTTTTCTAATCTCTGTTGCAGGAATATTTGTTTTAGTTCAACGCCCGCGGAGCCTACATTTGATTTATATTGCAACTCTGCTGATCGGATCTTAGTTCCACTTTCTTGGAAAGAGCGCTTTATCTGGTGTGCGCTCAAACCCTCGTTCACGATGAATTGTGAAAAATTACATCCACATCCCAAACTATGATAGGAAACCAAAAATACCCATAACAATAAGATTATGGCAAGTATATATTAAAGAAATTGTCCTGACTGCTCTTCACAATACATTGGCGAAACTTGCAGAAATTAACACATAGAAGTATCTACGAGCACAAAAAGAATCTTATACACAAAAATTTATCAAATGCTTTCGTCATGCATAGAAATAAATTCAACAACTATTTTGATCTAAAGAAGGCTAAATTAAAAGAGAAAATAACTGAAACGAGAAAAGGGCATTTATCTTTGGTTCTACAATTGCAAGAGGACTTGATATCTAATTGGTTGTTATTGTAAAATTTATTTATTATTGTGGGTATTAATGATATTATAGAGTTTGTTGGTGCAGGAATAACTAATTTTAAAAGTGTTTCAATTAACATTTGTATGTAGTGGTTTGTTTTGATTAAAATGTTTATCTATTAATTTAAGAAAGTATTTACCAATATTTATGTTAGTTTGCAAAAAGTGGAATTAAACCATATTACTTTACTTTTTCTGTGTTCGGGTTTAGTCTTTATAATATCTTTTCATGACACTTAATGAATAGCGGTTCGGATTGAGGAATCGCAGAGCCGAGTTCGAATTCCAGTCAAATCCATTACATTCACTTATGTGCTAATACCCTTGGGAAAAGTATGACTCATCTTCCTCTCCCCAAGTTATGAGCAGAACAGACCGGGTTCTATAGCCATGGGTGGTAACTGGTCTACCGCATGAAGAAATGGCAACCTATTGCGAGAAAAAATCTGCTTCGTCAGTCATGCATCGAAAGATACATGATCGACTAAGCGCGTATCACGCATAGCACATAACTAAATGACTGATATATATATATATATATATATATATATATATATATGTATGGCAGAATGTTAAAAGAGCATTAGCGTTTCGACCATATCACCCAGGTTCGAATCTCATCGTGGTCGATTTATCAGAAGGACGATTTCTTGATATATCTGATATTTGGACACTGTTAGTAAAACCATACAAATGATTGACCCCAATTGATTTGCGATTGAATTAGGTAGATGTAACTATGATCCCGGGGCTTGAGTGTAGCTGGCCTTATCCAGATACTGGCCAGGTCATAATGCGCCCTCTCTCGGAAACTGTATATAAAAGCAACTCGGCCTAGTTTGTAGTAACAATCCACTCGTTGGCTCTGGGTATGCGGGAATAGAGTAAAAAAAATCAAACGGTTAGAGAAGGGGAAGATAGGTAATTGACAGATAACGTGTGTGTGTGTGTGTGTGTGTGTGTGTGTGTGTGTGTGTGTGTGTGTGTGTGTGTGTGTGTGTGTGTGTGTGTGTCCAAATTGTAAACAACATTCTCTAGATCCTGAGGCAAAGTCTTTATGACTGAAAAGAAGAAGAAGAAGAAGAAGAAGAAGAAGAAGAAGAAGAAGAAGAAGAAGAAGAAGAAGAAACAATAATAGCTTTGATTCAGTGTTTTCCCCCTTCTCATCGCGAAGGTGGTCACGTGATCCTATGACGTCATGGAAACTGTTTGGGCTGCTTCTTCAAAGGGCTAACTTTCGCCGATGGGCTGTTTGCTGTTAAGATTAAAATGAATGATAATGTAACAGTTTGAAAGCAAGAAAAAAGAAGAAAAAAAAAACGAACTAGCTTCTAGTCTGATCACTT